TGGGTCCTTGGGATTCAAAGTGGTCAAACTGTATGCCCTTTTGTAGCCCAATCACCCCTACATATTTTCATATTCTAAGCAGGGAATTAAACAAAGAATATGTATGTCAAAACATATATAAATAGTTTATGCAAACCTCACCATCACAATCTACCCCAAGAAAACCTCCCTTGCCACCCATAGTAGAATATTTGTAGGCTACTTATTTATAGGTGGAGCGTAAACAATTATTAATAAAGCAATTGAATATTAATAGAGATTATTAATATTTAATTAACAACCTTTGCTACCAAAGAAGAAAATAGAGATTATTAATATTGAATTTGTTTAAGGGTAGTATTATAATTATATATATATTTTTTATAACATTACTTTTCTTCCCTTCTCTATAAAGTATGTCACATCCATTTTTTTTTTTTTCGCACTGGGCTATTCACATTTCTTGTGTGATATATTATGCTTTTGAGGTATACCGATAACTTATATAGAGTGCTAAAAGTGAAAGTTTTGGGATGTTATAGTGTAAAGAGTTCTGTATGGCCATGAACTGTCTATACCAGAAATAATTATAATGATCCAAGGTCCGAACCACTAACCGAGTCCTTACCCAAACCCGAGGTCATCTAAGTCAATACCATTAAGTTCAGGATTATTACATCATTAACATATACAAAATATGATCAATAAAGATCCTAAACGACTTTCCAAGACTCGTGGATAATTGTACTGGAAAGAGAAAGCAAAGTGAGCAACCAACGGCAAATCGATAGACTGAAATGGAGCTTTGGTCGGCCGGAATAGCTCCTGTACCGGTCGACCGAAATGGCTATTTCGGTCAGCCGGTTGTGGTCCAAACAGTGATGGAAGCTACTTGAAGAATCGGTCGACCAAAATGGTCCTGCGAGCTGCACTTTCAATTGAACTGCCATTAACTTGAAACTATGCATAAGTCTTGCTATAAATCCCTACAACTACATAAATCCTGTCCCAACACATAAGAAATCATAGAATATGGATTACAACATTTACTTAAGTTCGTTAACAACATAATTACACATGATTCTGCATAGTCTCTTACAAGATAACAAAGTTTATAAAATTTACATTCCATGAGTTCCATTTGCTTCCACAATTTCTACATTTGCAACATTATACAAATTTCTTCTCATTATTATTACAAAAGATACAAAACAAAAGTCCCAATCCCGTTTAGAATTGTGGTGAGTTGTCGTCCGCCACTTCTTTCCCTGAACCTGAAAAATGTTGAAATAATGGGGTGAGCATAAACTCAGTAGGAAGTTTCTAAGACACACTTCTTATAATCCCGTGAATCCACACAAAAAATAGGTAAAAAAAGTAAACGGGATCATACTATAGGGAATACATTTCAACAACTACAATAATGAGTGTATAATGAATGTCATCCAATCACAATCACACCACATATGCAAATAGAGTGCAATGTCATGTAAGTGTCGCTCCCCATTTTCGAAACAATTCAGTTTCAACTTCCAAACCGTTACTATAATCCGACCTAAGGCACCTCCAAGGCGTCACGAAAGGAGGATTGACTAACTATCCACGACCACAAGGCGCTTCCAAGGCGTCGCATCCGGCCTAGTTAACTCAACCACACTCCCTTCTAGATTACACTAACATCGTGGACCACTAGGTGCCTCCTAGGCGTCCGATTTTCGCAAACACTTTTAGAAATTTTTTTCCCAAAACAATTTCACTTGTTTTAAAACACTTTTCCCCCTTTTCTTTCCCAATGAATGCATAAGTGCTTTATGCTTCTAGTCATCAATGTAACCATAACATTCTCATACAAGCTACTCAAGATAAATTGCTAAAGTATACAACTCATACTTTCAATCATCATTGATTCAACATAGTAAGTACATAAAACAAGAATTTAATCCCATGTAAGCATGCTTATTCACAACACATCAACTATCACATATTTGCACAAAATATGTAATTAACATAAAATGAGCATGCTTGACACAAATAAAGGAGATTCAACTCACAAAAGTATAAGAACTTGTGGATTAGAGACCCCTACCTGATCAATGGATGAGAAAAGCCTCAATTTTTCCCAATTCCAAGCCCTAATTCGAAATCCAAGGGTTGGCCAAAATACTGTTTGGCTTCTTTCAAATTAACGGCCTCGACGAACTCTACAACTTTGCTTCACAAGGTATCAACAAATTCCTAAAGGGGCTAGGCTTAATCAAGCCTTGAATGCTTGATTACAAAGAAAAAGAAAAAGAAAAAGAAAGAGAGGGAGACAGAGAAAAGGGAGAGAGGCTGCCGGGTATATAGAGAGAGAATAAGGCCAAATATGGCTTTATGGCCACTAAAACAAATGGGTTAGTGGTGGTGGGTCCCACCACTAAGAAATATCTTTCTTTTTTTCTTTTTTATTTACACCACACATGCGAATGCACATCAACCATATAAAATCTACATTTAACACACTAAATAAAATAAATGTGATGCAAATGAACCCAAGCAAAACCTCCACCCGGGACTTTTTGGCCCGAGAAACGAAAAAATGCTGAAATGACAGCTGGTGCATTTTCAAGAGTCCTAAATTCAAAGAAACGCCCCAACCAATCCTCGGACGCACCCGACACACCCCACGATGTCTGGCATGCAAAACGAGAAAAAAACAAAAATACCCCCAAAAATAAAAAAATTACAGAAATTAAAAAATGACAAAATTCAAGAACATCACAATAACTGAGTTTGAGCATTGTTTATTGAGAGATCGACTTCCCCTCAAACTCAAACTCATAATTAATTAAACTTCCTTGAGCATGTTTGCACCAGCTTATGTAACCAAGTTAATATTGGTTGCGTTATTAAATTAATTAGGCCAATAGGAAGTTCCCATCCTTCTGTTTTAAAGTTGAAATCATAGAATGTTTAATTAATTAGTCCTTTTTATAGTCCAAATATACTGCATTCATTCATTGATAGCTCAAATGTCTGTCATAAAACAAGAAATTTTGGAAAGTGCTCTACTGATTCTTCAATATGTCCCCACAGATCTTCTCGACAATCGAAACAATTTGCTCAAATTTAACAAATGAATCTTCAAGGCTTAAGACATTAATATTGCTTAGAGTCAAACGTGAGATATATATATATATATATATATATATATATTATAAAAGAATGTGAATATTCCGTACTTTTCCTTCATTATCAGATGGAACTTGTATACACTGGAATTCGCTAACCAATTAAATTTGGTTAGTTTAAAAATACAGAACATTAGTAACTGGCATTAATTAGCGCCCCCACCCCCACAACAACAAAAAAAAAAAAAAAAATAGTAATTAGTAATTGCAAATTAATTAATTAAACAAAGGAACAAAAGGGCCGGTTGGGCCTTTCATGAAAATATGATAGTTCCTATCTACCGTGAGAAAACTTCTACTTCATTTTAGTAAACCACTAACTTGAAACCTATTAATTTGGTCCCTAATTTATCCAAGTTACGTGTTGGACTCATATATACATACATATATAATGATGAAACCCTTTTGTGTAGTATTCACATATACATAAATACAGTATATGTCACATATATATATTTATTTATTTATATGGAGGAGAGAGATCGCTTCTGTAGCCGTGTGAAAAACAAACACACGCTTTCTTTTGGCTGTAAAACAATCGCCTACTTTTCAAGCACCTGAATAAATTAAAAATGCATGGTAAAAATTATATTAATAATAATAAAAATTCTGCGTAGTTTTGAAGCACCTGAACAATGCATGACTACTGTTCCTAATTTAAAGTAACTTGTGCTTTCAGTTGGCTATTCACTCTAATTTTCTCCACTTAATTATTTTCTTATCCATTTACTATTTTTAATAAAAATAAGATAACTGCTTCAATGAGCAAGGTTCTATTATTTTTTTCCCTACTATTTTTATTTCCTTGAAATTCGGTCGAATATCTTTGAGAATCCAAATCTGGGATGGTTAAGTTTTGTTTACGTGATTTCGTGAGTCAATATCTATACCTTCACACATAAAAATATTTGTTGGCGACTTGAATCATATAATATACAGTGTGTTTTTTAGAATAGAATTTTTCTATTGACTTGATCTTGGACGCGCCTTGACACTGTAAATGATGTCCGAATCTGAGCTTTGAAATTGAATTCTGGATTAGTCCTGGCTGGTCTGTTGGAATTCAAAGTGGTCAAATTATATTCCCATTTATAGCCCAGACAGCCCTACAGATTTTCAAAAGATTATGTGGATGCAAGCTTGTCTAAAATTCTTAAAAGGTTCTTGTGAAAAAATATTGGTATATATTCTTTAGGATAAACTGAAATAAATCCCCCTTAATTACACCTCAATTAGCAAAAAACTCTGCTGAAATTCTTAAGTGGCAAAAAAAAAAAAAAAAAAACCTAAACTTATTTTTTAAAGCATGCCTAGCACGTGAAAGGAATATTTTCTGTAAAGGCTCATACAGCCCTTATGGAATTCAAAAAACTATAATGCCATTGGTTAACCATTGGAATTTGGAACCAATACCCACCAAACAAGCCCTAACGTCTCTAGTCCTATGATCAAATTCCACATGTTTTGATGTTCCGTAATCAATTGTATCGTGCGTGATCATCAACCCAGATCTCCAACATCAAAGATTCATATGTAGAGAAAATCTGATATCCAAAATCAAAGATGTCTGTGTGTGTATGTATATGTAGATATATATGACCCCCCGGCCATGGACGTAGCCGCCTCTGCCTCAAGCCATGGATGAGGAAAAGCTGCCTACATTTTTTTTTTTTTTTTTTGAAAAGTAAATAAATATTATTATTAATAAACTTTGAAAGGAACATAGTTAGCCCAGGCTAACCAAAATACAAGCCCAAAGGCAGCCCCCAAGGAGCAACAGAAATAACGAAAGCCCAAGAAGGACGCAACACAAAGCTGTGAACATGGAGAAGAAAACTCTCCCAATAGAAACTAAATAGTGTCTGGAGGCTTTGTCGGAGGACGGATAACGGAGGCTGGTAGCTCCCACTCTTCAATGATACGCCTGGAACTCGGCGAATCTGTGAGTGATGCTGACATGAGTTCCAATCTAACTGTATCCAGAATTTGGTGCAACAGAGCATTTTGAGATAGGGATCTCTTCCTGAAGATGCGTCTGTTACGCTCCATCCAGATACTATAAACAAGTGAGCTCAGAGCTAGCTTTGCCACTGAATTGCTGTAGAACCCTTTGCAATTTCTCCAATGATGAGATGCCCAGTTGATGAGGCTCTGCCATGAGTTAGGAAATATATGGAAACCACATCTTGTTTGAAGAAATGACCACAAGGGCTTTGTGAAGATGCATTGGAAGAATAGGTGATCATGGGACTCTAGGTGAGAATTGCAGAGTGTACAGATGGTAGCATTAATATGGGATGTACATCTTCTATTTAAAGTAGGAAGTTTCTGTTGGATAGCAACCCATAGAGTAAATGAATGTTTGGGAATTGAATTCTTGAACCAGACAAGGTGAGTCCATGGTGGACTTGGTAAGTGTTGATTCATGTGCTTTAGGGTTTGTGCTAGTGAGAATCCTCCACTGGGAGATGGAATCCACAACACTTTGTCTAGTTTTTCTGGATATGGCAGGGGCATGTTATTGGCTTGCAGTAGCTGGGGAATAAAGTGGTTATGGAAGGGGGGAAGAACCAAGAAGAATTTGATATGAAGTTGCTCAGTTTTGTTTTGGAGTCAATGCCAGTATCAATGAGCTGTTGAGGAGAGATGAGAAGGTGAAGTGGATCTAGGCTGCACCAATTGTCAAACCAAAAATTGGCAATTGTACCATTACCAATTTCAAGTTTGACAAGAGGTTTGATAGAAGGCCTTAGGTTGAGAAGTCTTCCCCAGCTCCAAGAGCGCTGTCCAGGGATCTTGACTTCCCAAATGCTTCTCCCTTTGAGCAAGTATTGATTGATCCACTTAAACAACAACTCGTGCATCAAACCCGACACCCCATAAGGTCTAAAGACCTAAATCATCGTGGCCATCCCTACTTGTGAAGGCTAGAGAATTTTCAGGTTTTGACCCCTCTTTTATTGTGATGAATCCAAAATTTCATTATGAAACTCTATAGGAATCAATATTGGCTGAAATTAGAAATTGACTCAGAAATGAAATTAATTAATTTCCATTTCTCGAGTGATAAGAAGAATCTATATGCTATATATACTTTTAAGGTAGACAGATAACTTATTTAGATTTCTAAAAGTGGAAAACTTGGGACGTTGTAGTATAAATATAAATGTTAGAGTAGGCCAATGAACAAATTCAGTTTGGTCCATTGTGAACTGACTATAGCTTCAGAATTAACTAAGTTTGAGCATTGTTTTATTAATTAGATACTTCCCCTCAAAATCATTAAAATATCTTTTAAACCACGCAGGCCAGCCAACTTTTAATGTTAACTTCCCTAATAAGCTTGTTTGTACCCTACTATGAATTAAGAATCACGTCCACCATATATGTAGTGAAACTGCACGAGCCTGTTGGCTGTGATTCAATTAGGTCAATACAAAATTTCCATCCTTCTGCAGTTTGGTACATATTTTATTTGTTATCTTTAAATTAAGTTGAAATCGTAGAATTAATTAATTTTTAATTAGTCATTTTCATAGTCCAAATTAATATTCTGCATTCATTTAGCTCAAATAACTGTCCCTAGCTGTATGCTTTCTCATCATACAATTTGTTTTGGTACATTCTGATTCACAAACTCTATATACTCATAAAACAGCAAATTTTGGAAAGTTTTGTACGAATTCTTCAATAAGTCTGGGCAGATCTAAAAAAATGAAGTAATTTGCTCAAATTTCACAAATGAATCTTCAAGGCTTAAGACATTATGGGATAGAGTCAGATATGATATAATGAAATAGAATGTGAATATTCAGTACTTTTCCTTCATTATAAGAGAGTATACACTGCAATCAAACTTATTTATGCTAATAAACCAAATTTGGTTAGTTTAAATATAAAACATTAATTAGTAACTGGTAATTACAAATTAATTGAACAAATGATGAAAAAAAAAAATCAGGCCCTTGTGAAAATATGATCATGTGATGTTGTCTTTAGTTCCTATCTAGCGTTGAGAAAACTTTTGCAAATCCTTCCCCAGCACTTCCTATCCGGTTCAGCTAGCAGTATTTTTGATTTCACGTCTTCCGCAAAAGTTTTCTGTAATGAATTGTCAAGTAGCCAAAAATTAGGAAATATGACAAAAAAAAAAAAAAAAAAATTTTAATAAAAATTGAATGAATAAGAAACTAATTAAATTGAATTACCTCTATAGAGTTGTTATTTAGAAGACGCTGAATGATATTGTTAAGGATGTCTTTGGTGTACTCCGGATGGCCTTGAATCCCTAAAATGTGTTCTCCAATTGTGAACATCTCCACACCAGTTTTCTCTGAACAAGCCATCACTTTAGCACCCACAGGAACTTGCCACACCTGTTGGATCCATTTATTGTTGGAAATTACTTTGTTGATCTTCAACATATATATATATATATATATGTCTTTGATTAATATATAATAATACGTAAATATGTAATTGTACACAATGCATGTATATATAAAAGAGAGATCTAGAGAGAGTGTTACCTCGTCTTGGTGGCACTCAATGATTGAAAGGGCCGGTAGATTTTCATCCAAACCATCAAGAAAGCTGCATGGGGAGTCGTCTTTCATTATCTTCACTTTTCTTAGCCCAAGATCCCAACCACTATAAGATTTTCCTACTTTTCCACCCAATGCTCTGCACAGAACCTGTATAACAATCCATAAAAAAAAATTTACATTATTAAATATTTAAGTATTCACTACCAACAACCGTTGAACCTTAACTAAGTACCTTCATATATATATATATATATATATATATATAAGTTAATAATTACCTGGTGACCGAAGCAAATTCCAAGAAGTTTCTTGTTCATTGAGTCTAGGGTTTGCAAGAGAAAGCAAAGTTTGAGAATCCAGGCTTCATTGCCATAAGCATCGAAAGGGCTTCCACTGATGACGAAACCATCATAATTGTGAAGATCATTCATGTCTGGAAATTCTCCTTCAACAACCCTAAACAAGTCCCATCTTTCTCCTTCTTCACCAAAAGCTGCTACAAACACATTGAAGTAGCCGCCATACGTTTCCTTCACGTACTCGGAATCATTTGCCGCTAGTAACAGCCCATACCTTTTCTCTGCTGTTTGATTAACCTTCATCTTCCTTAGCTAGCTAGGTACCCAAGAGATCAGAGAACAAAACAAGAAAAAGTATTGCTCGATGGAAACTAAAACTATTACTGCGAGAGAGATATGTAGAGAGAGAAACAAGAGAGCGAGATATGTAGAGAGAAAGAGAATGGTAGAGTTTGGAAATGTTAGAGGAGGAATAGCTTTAATTTATAGGAGGAGCAAAAACAAATAGGTTGGTCACCAGATAGTACGCTTAACGCGGCAGTTGCTTTCCAAATTTTAAAATAACATATTTACTGAAAAAATAAAATAATGTGTAAATATATATATATATATACACACACCCAAACACACGGAGGAGAAAAAAGGGAGTTTCTGTTGCCATGTGAAAAACAAAGACACGGTTTCTTATGGGTTGTAAAACGACCGCGACCCTTTCAAGCACCTGAATAATGCAATGCATGTTGAAATAAATAAAAAAATAAAAAATGGCTTACTTTTGAAGCACCTGAATAATAATGCATGTCTACTGTTTCCTAATTTATAGTAGCTCGTTGGATCTGTAAGTTTACTAAACCTCTTCTTTGGTCAACAGTATGACCGTTTCATAGCCACGCCGTAATGAAAATTGGGCCGAGAAGGAAACGTATTTGTCCAGTGATAGGCCCACTCTGCCTGAACAAGCAAATTAAATGAATGGCTTCTAACAAAGATAAAATGATCTTTCTCATTTTTGATTCGGAAGCGGAGAGAGGGGACAAGAAGCGATTGAAGTCTATTTTAGCTTCCTTGACGCCACATCTCGGACAATAGATAGACAGTACTGCATGTGGAATGAATCAATAAGGGATTTAATAGAAAAGGCGGTCAATTTAGCCTCAGATTGACTGTACATTTCTTGTTCAACTTCCTTATAATGCAATTACAGTAATATACGGACGTGTGTAGGTGCAAGCAAGCTGTCTTTTTTTTTTTTTTTTCGGAAGAATAGAATAGTTCTACTGACTTGACTTGATGTTATTGGACGCGCTAGCCGCTAGACCATATAAAATGATGCCCCAATCCGACTGTAAAGTTGAATTCTATTGATAATTAGTTGGATTAGAGGGCTTGATATATAATAGTTTATGCAAACTTGTCTAAATTAATTTCTCAAATCAACCTTTTTCTTTATAATGTAAATACCCCTCAGAATATGGTTCCAATCTTCTTATGCAATATCACAATCCACAATCATGCTTTTAATTAGCAGCTTAGAAATTAAGATCGAAAAATTATTAGATAAACTCTGGATATAAATTTATGCTTCGTCCTGCCAGGGAAAAAAAAAAAAAATAGATGGAAGAATAAGAAGAGATGAATTATTTTTAATTAACAACCTTACTTTGTTATGAAAGAAGTAGTAAATAGAGATTACTAATATTGAATTTATTTAATAATAATTAAAAAGTAATACTCAGTATTATAATATAATTTTTTTTAATAACATTATTTTTCTTGCCTCCTCTATAAAGCATGTCACATTCATCTCTTTTTGCCTTTTCCTCCTGTCTTCTCTCTACTAAATAAAAGAATTTTATTCGATATTTGTATATTTGTTCTCTCTATCCCTCTTTTTTTTGTTTCTTACCAAACGGACCATAAAGACTAACATTCAACAAGTATAACAATTCCCCCTTTTTTGTTTCCTACGGAGCTGACCATAAAAACTGACATTCAACAATTATAACTTTTATTATTGGGTGCCATCCATGACTTCCATGTTCCATAGTTGAGAACAAAAGGAAACAAATTGCACTACCATTTAATAACCTCTGGCATGAAAGTCCATTCTTGCAACCAAACAAGAAACTATGAGAAATACGTGAACGCGTTAGTGACTCGGTAACGTACACAAAGGCGAAACCCATCGAGTATGTTTTGTATTGGAAGTCTTATATTGAAAAGAATAAATAAATATTTCAAATACTATATTATACTAGTGGATTGCACATGCCAACACGTTTCATGTGAATGGCATGTCGTCCAGTATTTAAACTTTTGTCTCTGAAATTTTGTTACTTCTCATTTTCCACTTTTCACAAAGATAGCCTGGTGATACAAAAGATCGAGTTGGTAGATTCATTATTTTCACCACGTTTAAAAAGGCCATAGATCCTCCACCATCTTACTTTAATATAATAGTGTATATATATATATATATATAGGAATAGATAGTATATATTGTGATCAAGATTCGTCGCATCGACCGATACATTATATATAAGTTGATTCGTAAACTTGTTTTAAAGGCCCGATATCGCTATACACTTTTATGAATCTATCAGTTCGATCATTTTACACAAATATTCGTCTGAGTCCATTACCGCGATTGCGGCAATACCCCAACTGCAAACCATAATTATGACGGGTCGATTAGACACAAAAGTGATTGTGGCAGCCACCATGTCGTGGTTAGTAATTGTTACTATTAATTTTTGAGAGTTAAAACATACCCCTAATTTTAAGAAGTTTTAAATTAGGGTAGCTGATTAGCTAGATAGATTACATTAAAATTTAAAATGATACCGTAATTATGTGTTCTTCTATTACGTGATGTTCACTAACACAAAAAAGAATCCTCTTAAGAATCTTCCCTGCAAGATTCTGTAGGCTTAATCAGGTGGTCTAAATTTAATCACGCCATTCTTTTATTAAACTTTATCACTTGCAATTAAATCGCATAATTGAGCCACGTATGGCCTGTATATGTGTCAATATTTTATATATAAAATTGAAAATTTAACTTTCGAAAAAGAATAAAAAAATAATTGAGCCATGTATAATAATCCAACAGAGATATTCTGAAGTAGAGGATCCTTTCATATTAAGACAATAGGATTGGGCTATTTCGAATTTTAACAGAAAGAAAAAAAAAAAAAAGGGGTAAAATGAACTTTAGAAATGGGCTTTAATAAAAGTTGGTGCCTTTAGCAATGGGCTATATTGGACTTGCGTTTCTAAAACTTTTCCACTCTGGCCTAGTCACAGATTTAATAGACATATCAAAGTGTGGCTTAGTGCTCCACAGATTTAATTAGGTGCTGTTTGATAAAACTAAAAATTAAGCATTAAAAATTTCAAATACTGAATTTTAAGTGCTAAAATTTTAAGTATTGAATGTATTAATTTGAAAACCTGTTGCTAAATTCATTAAAATTGTTTGTTATATATAAAAGTTGAAGTCTGAAAGTTATGCATATTACATTTTTGCCCTCAATTTGTGATACTTATAACAGTTTTATATTTAGAATATAAAAATATTAATAAAACAACCACATTCACTCAATTAAATAAATAAATATGAAAATTTAAAATATATGGATTTTGTATTACATAATATGTATGTATGGTATCGAAAAGGGTATTATAAAGATTAAAAAAGTAAAATTTAAAATATATGAGTTTTGGATTGAATAATATTTAGGTAAGGTATTGAAAAGGGTGCTACAAAAATTAAAGAAAATACTTGAAAAAGAATTCTTATTTAGGAATAAAATTCTATTATATAAATAATTGATGGAAATTTTAAATGTATGGGTTTTGGATTACATAATATTTATGTAGGTATGGTATTACAGAAATTAAAAAAAGTAAAATTTAAAATATATGTGTTTTGAATTACATAATATTTATATAGGGTATTGAAATCACATAAAGGAGTCTAAAAAAATTGTAGAGAGGCCCTAGAGAAATCCCTAAAAAAGATAACATAATTATATGAGGGTAGAGTAGTCATTAAAAAGTTATTTTTTAAACCCAACCACTTACCGTCTTCTGCGATAAGCCCCGCGATTAAAATTTTGGCCTCTTTTAAATAGTCCTTATCATATTAAACTTATTTTTAAAAATCATTTACCGTGTTATGCATTAAGCGCTGAAATCAAACAGGCCCTTAGTGTAACAGGTGATTCGATTCAAAAATTTAAACTATTAGTCAAGAGTAACACCAAACCCATATATACCCATTCACTTTTCCCGAACAAAAACAGAATAATATTAGCAAATACATATCCCCTTACAGTAGCAAACCTTAAGGTGAAGACCAGTTTCTGATTCTTTAAGGCGCAAATATGCAGCTTCAGGAAGCAGCTTTCTCCACATCATTCCCTTTTCCTCATCTTGTTTCTCTAATTCTTTCTGATTACTGCTATCTAATTTCTTGTTCATGTCAATACTGTTACTGACAGTAACTTCCTTTCTCAGATACAAGATTCCCTATATATCTCAACTAACATTTGATAATATAGGTTTTAATTTCCCTCATTTGGTGTAAATTATTTCTTAAATGGAGTGATAGATTTGTGTATGTGTGTATAAATATATATATGTAGTATTCAATCTACAAAAACGAACAAAACATGATAGAATTTAGATATTTATTACCACGGAAATAGCAAATGTTGTATATTCATCAATTTTATCTAAGATAAAAATGAATAAAATCATCCATGTAAACCAAATTCACTATCAATAACTGACTACCTATCAGTCTATTCAAAACAAATATCTTGAGATAATTGAAAAAGAAAAAACGAAAAGGAAAATTGATGCCGTCCAATAAGATCCCGTGATAATAGTTCTTCCTTTGATCTACTCATCAACGGCTAACGGAACAGATTCAGCCTGAAATTAAAATTCGGTAAGTTAAGCATAAAGTACCAAGAAATTCTCTAAAATAAAATTAGAGTCACTGGCTGAAGGGGCTTACCGACTTTCGATACATCAGGGTATGAAACATTTCGATGTAGCGACGTTTCTCAATCTCACGTTCATCTTTTTTGGACACATGCTTCCAAAATCCATAAACACCAGCCAAATTCATCACCCTCTCAGAGTAAATTTGCCATGTAAAACTATAAAAACAGAGACGTACAAGTAGTAATCAGGAAAAAGAAAAAATACTTACTGAGACTATATAAAAGAAACAGATATATTTAACAAAATTCATCAACAATAAAGGATGGCATATAGACTTACTTCTCAAGAATGCGCTTAAGGCCTCCAGCCGAAATGGCTTCCCAATGAGTGGGGTCATCCCTGCACTTTTCAAAGAAATTAACAAGCACTTGAGCAACCTCATCACCATGGTATGGATCAATGTGGAAGCCAGACTTTCCGTGCACAATTATCTCAGCTGGACCGCCATGCAATGTAGCAAATGTTGGTAAGCCACAGGTCATGGACTCCACCACTGTCAGACCGAAAGCCTCATAGAAAGCAGGCTGCACAAAAGCTCCTCTCTTGTCTGCAATGTATCGGTATAGTTCACCATTCCTCTCCCGGTTCATCTGGGAAGAAATCCATCTGAACTGACCATTCAACTTGTAGGTGTCTATGAGCTCATACATCTTCTTCATCTCTGCTTGCTCTTCCAAGTCCTTGGATTCCTTCCTACGATCTCCACCTACCACAACCAGGTTCACCAACTCCCTAAGCCGAGCACTCTTACCATACATCTCAACAAGTCCTGTCAAGTTCTTCACGCGATCCAGCCGTGCCATTGTGAATAGAATGGGCTTGCTCCTGTCTTTCAACACACATCTGCATACACCAACACCATTAATGTATCAGTGATCATTCAGTCAACAGGACAAATGGGACATTGACATAGCAAAGAGAAAGAAACTTACAAATGTTCTTCATTTTCAACAGCACTAAATAGAAGCTCTTCAATTTCAGGGTGGAAATTAGTCAGTCTCCTACTCTTCACTGAGTAAGAGAAGTAGAGGGACATATCAGCCCCTGGTGCAACAATGTTGAATTTGGGGTCGAACGCATCAATCCCATGGACAACTCGGTACAATCCAGGCATGGTAAAGGCTGTATGACTTTCATACTGTCCATAAGAGTTCTTACTGGAAACATACAAATAATAGTTTAGGGGCTGTCATTTTAAAATAAATAATTGAAAAACAAATTAATTATACACATAATTAGCTGATTAACAAGAATTAATGGTACCTTCCAGCAATCTCCTGGAAAGTGCTAGTGATAATGAAATCAGTATGATTCATTGCAATGAGATCAGCAGTAAACTGGGAGGAGAAATGATACTTCTCCTCAAATTTCTTCCAATATAGGTCAGAATTTGGATACTTAGTTTTCTCCAAAGCATGAGCAATGGTACTCTGCAAAAAAGGTCGAATGCTCACATAAGTAACACATATTTGGTCCACATGGTTGCAAAATGAAGCTAGGTAAGAAATGCAGCTAGATTGATCCTTGAGAGGAAGAAAATGATTGAATAAAAAAAGAACATATTGTACCTGGATTGACCCAAACTTGTGAGCTAGCAAGGTGGCAACAAGGTTACCCTCACTGTAGTTGCCAATGATCAAGTCCGGCTTTGTCTGCAACTCTCCAAGAATTTCATTTGCAACATCCTAAGGAAATTGGAAACATAATTCAGAATAAATTTAATCAAGAAATGAGTAACTGAATGTGAAAGATAAAGAGAAAATGGTAAAACAAATATTGTTAAACTTATTTAAGTTCACCTCTGTGAAAGTCTCCATATATGGCCACACTTCAAAACGCGAGATCCACTTGCGAAGAATTCCCTCCTCAGTTCTAAAGGGAACTCGCAGAATGTATGAATGCTCTGTTCCATAGACTTTCTCAATGCGTTGATTGCACGTGGTGCCAACTGCATCTGGCAGAAGGCGAGTGACCTATGACAGAATATCAAGCATTAGCACTAAAACAAATGGATCACAAACCTGAATTATAAAGAAAACTTCAATACTAACAATGATAATTCTAGGGATGATATCATTAAGTCCTTGCTTTTTCATCCGTTTAAGCATCTCGCGTTCCATGGCAGGAACTTGATCCAAAATGTAAACAACCTGTAAAGTTAACAAATTTAGAGAGGATCAAACAACAAAGTAAGGGACAAAACTTTTTGATCATAAATATTTTAACATACCTGGCCACCAGTATCAGGATAGCCCAAGACATTGTCTTGAGCAAAGTAACCATGGGGTGAGAGAATAACAACATTGAAAACCATAGGGACTGTCCCGAGAAATTTCTCGACAGCACAATGGTCAGGAGCCTCCAGGAGTTGTAAGAGCAGATTAAGCATGTCAGACACTGATTCAGCAGTATCACCCCAACCCCTTTCCAAACCAATCACTTGAAACCTATCTTCAAAATCAGAAAATGGGGTATCCAAAGGCAGAGTAGACAGATAATCCACTGCCTCTCTGACAACAGATTGAAGTTGGTTCAAGTTCTGAATTCTATCATTCACCATGAGTGACTGCACAATAACATCAAAGTATAACATTCATTTACAGTGTGTGGGAAAAAACAAAAGCTTACTCATAAATTATTAGGTCAACCATCAAAATTTACCTTGCCCTTGTAGTTATGAAGCCGAAGAAAATTCTCCAAACGCTCCTTAAGGCTACGACCACAAGTCATAACACACTCGGCCATAGCTTACCAAGATTTTCCAGACGAGACCTTCCATGCAACACAAACAGAAATTAGTTATCAAAAACAAAACATAGAAAAATAAAAGTGATCATCATTGGATTTCATGTTCATCCAAAATAAATAAATAAAAAATCAATACCTTACTTATTAAAAAAATAATATTAATAATAATAGTAATAACTCAAAAACCATTATACACAAGAGAAAAGGAAAAGGAGAAATCTTACAAGAGGAGAGATGTGTATAGAAGAAGAAGAAAGAGAGTAATAGTGCGGACTGAATGCAATTGGCGTGTGTGAATTTATAGAGAAGGAGGGATAAAAACTCTCACACACCATAATGGTAAATTAGGTTTTACAATTGAAAATAGTAAGAAATTGGCACATCAGTTACCTTTTTCACTTAACCTTCCATAAGCACCCAAGAAATCCAAACCGACGTGCTTTTTCTATAAAGGGAAACCAAAAATTTCTATATAATATGAATGTTGCTTTATTATTATGGAAGATTGCAGAATCTCTAAGAAACTTACCATTTTTCATGATCAGAGGTAAAGATAGAAGAAGAGGTTGATGTTTGCTTATATATATATATCTAAAATTATAACAAAATTTTACCTTTGGATTTGTAATGACATTACAAAATATTTATTTACTTTGGTTGTGGCAAAGCATAAATATACAATATTAATCAAAAGAAATAAAAAATCAAAGTTTAGCATTAAGAAGGAAGCAATACACATTTAGAATTGATAATTTCTGAATTTATATTATTCCACAATTAGCCTTAAGTTAAGCTTGCAACTTCTTTGTCTTTCTCGGTTGGTCAACCACTGGGATATAATACAAATCTTGTTTACCTGAAGAAACACAAAAATCTTCCTTCAACATGTATCCTCATTCCTCAACAATTTCAGCTTCACTGTCACTGTAATCTCCCCAACACTTAGTTGGCTTTTCCTCAACTGCTGTGCTGTTGCAGTTTCACTAGTGCAAGCATTGTAGCATATGCAAAGTAAGCATTCTTTTTTACCAGTAAAAAGGAAAAAGAAGTAGAACACACAAATAACACAACAAATAAATTACCTTAAGTGACCTTCACTGGAGATAGAAGCATCTGGTTTAGGAGTACCATTGCGTGCAGCTTCCTGCTGTTCCAGCAGAGCCTTGGACCCAAAATACTCAAGCCGCTGCAGAAGCATAAATATAAAGTTGAGGGACAAGGGCCAAATGTGAGGTTCAATTACTAAAGGTGGAACTTTATCTTACCTGTGTACGTAGATCATCTGATCCAAGCTTGGTTTGTTCATGCTGAACACTCAAGGAGAGTATGCTTCTATCAAAGAGAGAGCGATTGCTATAGCATGATAGCTGCCAGCAGTCTGAAGAAACCAGATATACAGGTTAAACATGACCATATGCAGGCTAAAATATACTGCTCCAACAATTTTACACAAGCATTTGGTGAGCGTTCATATTCCAAGAGACATGCAAGTGGTAAAATTCTCTCTTGGATCAGTGGGTGATATTGGCCAATTGGAAAGACAGTTAAAATATATATAGCTAGCAATATCTGATTTGAATAATTTCCGAAAAACAAAATATCTGATTTGAATATTTAAACTCAACTTGTTTGATCATGTTTGGATAATTTCATATTTAGCATAGGGAAAGTAGGTTTCGATAGTCTGGGAACCATTCAAACCTTCGTAATTTGCCCCCATACAACAAACTTGCTTTTGGTCACTTTGTATAGACTTTGTCGTTCAACACCATGAAAGCAGTTTATGTACATCAAAATTAGTTAGATTACTATTTACACTCATATGATGAATGTTTTCTGGTTACATTTAAAAATTGGGAAGTAATTATAAATTGGCAAAGCATATCAGTTAATCAATGTTCTGCTTCAGTCTGGTCAGAACCAGGAACTATTTCAATTTAACGAGGAAATTCAATATCAAGTTCATAACTCATTTTTGCTTTATCCCTTTTGGAGTTTAAACATTTTCATTTTGTAGACCATTTTATTGTTAACAGCAACAGCTACAAAGTTTACTTCCTTGATTAATAACACAATTCGTATGTTACTACCTCTGTCCACTTTAATTGTCCTGTTTTGGGAACCTTGACTCACCGTTGTGAGTCAAGGTTCCCAAAACAGGACAATTAAAGTGGATGGAGGGAATATAATCCATCTTGTACGTATTATACAAGGTTGCAACCATACGCATCAAAATTACCTTTCTTTTCCTTTTCCAAATTCCATTCCCAAAGGATTTGGTTGTGACCAAAGTATAAGATGATGATCCTCATCTACTGAGATGAAATGTTATCAATTATGCTCTCAGAAGAGCTATTTCAGTTACTATAACACAACCAGGACAGGAGCAATATGAATTCAATGTCCATCTAATTGGTTGTACTCCTTAACGAATTTCCCAGGCCTACTTGTAATAGCCTATTTATTAGATTTTCCAAATTGACAAAAATGTAAAATCTGGATTTTACATCAACATTTGGCTACAAACAAGAAAAAAAAAAAAATGAAAGATGGGTAGTAGCAGACCTTCAGACCTTCCTATTTCCATTCACAAGCATCATCCAAGAGGTAATGCCTGAAAAGTAAAACCAACAAAACTCAAGCAGAGAGGATCTAATTTACTGAACTACTCAACAGCAACTTCTACTGTTATGTAGATTTCTTTCTTATACCAGCCTATTATCCTCAAGACTCTCTATGTTAATATTTTACATCCCTTTCTGCATCAAATTCAAACTGTATTAGCCAGGATTCCCTACGGTGTAAACTTTGCAGTGAAAGGAATCCACCCCTCGTTAACTCTTCTCACAAGTTAAAGCTTGCAACTTCTTTGTTTTTCTCGGTTAGTCAACCACTGGGATATAATACAAATCTTGTTTACCTGAAGAAACACAAGAATCTTCCTTCAACATGTATCCTGGTTCCTCAACAATTTCAGCTTCACTGTTACTGTAATCTCCCCAACACTTGGTTGTCTTTTCCTCAACTGCTGTGCTGTTGCAGTTTTCAGTAGTGCAAGCACTTGGGTTCTTTTTTTTTTTTTGGGGGTGGGTGGGTTCAGCATTTCTTTAGGCCTTCCATCTGCAATCACAAGTTAAACCCTTTCTTGCCTAGAGGATATTTGAATAAGTCAAACTTTACAATTGAAAACTTTTAGGAATCCAGCAATGATAAACCTCAAAACCAAGAAATTTTCAATCATTTGCAATCCACATAGCCTACAACTTTCTCTACCTTTGAAATCACTAAACCAACAAACACCTCCGCCCAACCATACCTAAGATTCTTCTAGCATTATTCTCCGCTAACTTGACTTCTGTTATCTAGTAATAACCCAACTATAATTATAAAGCCTCATAACAAATTGAGAGTTCATGCAGAACACAAAACTTTAAATCGTTTTAGTGATAATACATGGAAAAGGCAAGAAACAGCTTATTAGGGCCCGTTTGGCGTTGCTGTTGATATGATAAAAGTGCTCGTCTGTAGAGCTGCCAAAAAAATGCGATTAGTAAAAAGTATGTTAGGTGTTTGGTGATACATTGTATAAAGTATTTTTCACAATTAAATTACTTTTTAATCTGTTTGGTAACAATATTTTTAGAAGCACTTCTATTGCTAATTTTACAATAATGTCCGTTAATAGAATGTTTACTATATATGATAAACCACTTTCTAAAAGAAGGCGTGAAATTGTCTTTATAAAAAATAAAAAAGAATAAAATTGTCTAAGGAAAACCAGTTATCCTAAATATAGACACTCTACCCAGAATTCCCTTTTAAACGCTAGAACTTTTAGCTTCAATCAAAAGCTCTACTCAACTAAAATTGGTAAAAAACACGTCTAAACGCAATTTCTTAAAATAAAAATAATTTTAAGCGGTTGAAAAACAATCCCAAACGGGCTCTTAATAAATAGTTATTTGAATCAGTTATTCTTTAAAGTGGTTGTGATATTATTTTTCTGACAGGTAAAACTTTTTTTTCAATAATTAACTAACAGACAAACTTGTTTGAACCAAAAGAGCAATTTCCAAATTCACTGTAATCCTGCATTGCTGTTGAACCAATAGAATTTCTGTCAATTCCAAATATTTATACTACCTCCGCTCAAGGTTCCTGTGATGATCCGAATTTTATGATTTTTAGACTGTCTCTATTTCTTAATTATTTATTAATTATGTATTTATTAAAGTTAATGGGTTTTGAAATATAATTTAGTTTTGTTATTTTATATATATATATATATATTGTATGTTGATGAAAGTTGCCAACCGTGGGAAAAGGGAAAGATTTAATTGTAATGTTAATTTCGGGTTTCACTTGTACGATATTTTATGGTCTTTGATTTGGTTTTTTTGATTTCATATATATATATATATATATATATATATATATATATATATATATTGTCAAAATGCCAATGGAGCTGCTGCCGAAATGGACTAGAGAAAGGAAAAGTGGAAAGAGAAATGATGAATTTGTCATTGGCGCGGGTACCACAGGAGTAATGGGTTGGTTATATATTGTCAAAATGCCAATGGAGCTGCTGCCGAAATGGACTAGAGAAAGGAAAAGTGGAAAGAGAAATGATGAATTTGTCATTGGCGCGGGTACCACAGGAGTAATGGGTTGGTTTGTTTTTTTTATGGTTTCATTTATTATATATATATATATATATATATGTTATTTATTGGAAGGTGATAAAGTAGGAAATAAGAAAGAGAATGTGTGGAAGAGATGTGAATAGGTGGACGGCTGAGAAGAAAGGAGAT